CTAAGTGGGTGAGAGACACCCCATATGGGTCCATTTAATCTTGCACATAAACTTTAAATGTGCTTCTATATTTAAATCTGTCTATTTTGAAAAAATGGCTCCTATATTTTAGAAGGTCACGGTCTGCCCTTTAGGCGTGTTCAGCTTATCTTAAGGTTGCAACCCTTGAACACCACGGCACAGCTGGGAATCTGTGTAATTTTGTATAGTCAGTAATTTACATAGAAAACTGTATCATCTGTATAAAAATTACATGCAATATGAACAAATTGACCAATATTCTATCACTATGCCAACAAATCAAGTTTGAACTCTACTTAAATGAATCAGAGAGAACATGCTGGATAACTAAATTATTTTTGTTTTGTAAGAAAAAAAACAATACATGTTGGAACAGAAATATTGTACATATGACACATGTTGACAGTATACAGTATCAAATGATATGCTAACTACAGTATGTTTTAATTGAGATATAGGTATGTAGGCAAATGGGACACTTCAATCAACCTGTCTGCTAATCCTGAATGTACTAACAATGTGTGTAATCTCCATCCCAGCTGGATGGATACGGCAATAACAGTTTGTGTAGCACGTTGTCTATTTATAATAAGCTATTGGACGCAGGTGTTTAAATGGCTTTTTAATTGTTTCCAAGGCTGTGATGTAGCAATGAGACACTCAAGTGAACACTTAAGAGAATACAGCTCAGAGCCAGGTGCTACGTGTGGATGTATGCGTGTCCACGTGCAACACAGCATGAGTAATGCCTCTGGCACTTTCGTGAAAAAGGACAGCACCTGTTACTTGAGGGAATACAAAGCATGCACAGGCACAGGTTTGAGTGTGTGAGTAAGAGAGACTGAAAGACTCTGACCAAGTCAAAAAAGGGTTTTTTTTTCTTGCTTCAATATGTTCAAATATTTCTTTGAGCTGATTTGGCTTCATCTACATATTAAAAATAGTAGTAGTGATGGCATGGCATTGTCCTTTTGCAGCAGAAGGAATGGCATGTTATACTTGTTAACTGGTGTAAGAAGCAAGCGGTAAGCTATTTGTGTTAGCCAAGGCTTGGTGACTCAACCAATCTAATTTGAGGCCCACTGCAGCTATTTATCGACACTATAAGAAAGCAATTTGTTCTATGCAGCTGGAGAGCTGCTTGTTTGTGTCATTCATAATAATGGTCACTGGATTAAATATCACACTGGAGCTCTGCTCCCTAACATTGACGGTACTGCGATAGGGACCAGGCTGGGACATGATATATCTTTTGACTGTTGACATAGTTGGACATTAAATGTATTACTATGTCCGTATTTCATAAGCAAAGTCAAATCTAGGACATGTCATCTTTAGTCCTTTGGCCAGTGCTGAGACTTAAGTAGCTTCTGATAAGTTTGGCTATCCATATTTCTAAATATTGCAAACATAAAAAAATCCATATATTCTTGTATTAATGCCCTTCTCTCAGGCAGTAATGACATCATTATACTATAACGGTCTTATAATATTACATAATTGCTGGACTTTTCTGATGATAGAAGCTCTGACATCCCGAAATTGATAGCTGACTGCCTAAAATATGTGACAGGTTTTCAGCCAATGCATGAAATCCTATTATTCTGTCAGACATTGCTTGCATCTTGGAGAAATGCGTGAGGAGTGCTCTGGATCCTGTGCCTTCCCGTACTGGCCAGGAGATGGCAGGTCAGATTGTCTGAAAACTTTCATTCTTGCAAGACAGTAGTGAAAACAATACATTTTCTATGTGACACATTCCCAAAAACATCTCAGGTTTAGCAGAAATTGCGTATTCTGAAACAGAAACAATGATCATTGCCTGGCTGAAGGGAACTCTGGCAGGCTGGTTATTCGCAGCATGCTCATCCCTTGATATTCCAGATGAAGGTCAAGCTCTTTTAACACTAGTCTACCCCTCTTCCTTTACGCTACATCTGGAGCAGATGTGCATACCACTTAATGTTTGTCTCCCAATGTATGCACATACCAGCATGAGTCTGGGACGAGTGTAAAAATGTAGTGAAAGTCTCGAATTGTTTGGTTCTGTTCTTTTCAATGTGACATCTAAACAAGTTAAAAACAAAAAATACCAAAAATAAAAATACCCCAAACCATCTTTAAAAAGATGAAATTCACTACAGAAACAATCACCCTGTGAGTCAGAGACTGGTTTCACTTTTGTAATTTTATCCCACTGGCTCATTTAACATTTGTTAGTTGGCGAGACCAAATTAGGTATTTGTGGGTCTGTTAGATTTTTGATCCACTGGAAGCTGATACTACACTGTTACCCAGATGCTGCTGCTCTGTGCGTTTTTAGTTTGTCCTATCTGAGCCATAACATGGCAAATGGCAGTGTTTGTTCCGATGATTTACAATCACTATGGGGTTAAATTGCAGCTGGAAAAGTGCCATCCTGGCTTAGTCAAGTCTAAAAGAGCATGTTTTATCAACCAGAACAAAGGCATTTCCAATTCTGTTAAAGGTCAGAAGGAGGAAAAGACCGAGAGCTCAGCTGGTGGCAAATATGCACAACCGATCTCTGAAAAGTCTTATGGTTCTAATATAATTAATAGAGTTTATGGGATTCTTTAAACAATAAAACCTCCCACTTATTAAGGATTTAAAGTTTAGGATGTGGGGGAGTGAGTGAGATGCATAGTATAGGGATCCCCCTAATGGCATTACCAGGCAGACAGATGGTGCAGGAGTTGTAGGTTTTTTTTTTCCAGGCACATGGGTGGAGGTAGAGGTGGTGACAGCGGTGGAGTTCCTCCCCCGCTGCCGGGAACGCTCAGTGATCATCCCAGAGTGCCAACTCACCCCTTGCGGGTGTTTCAGTGGTACAGCCCCACCTCGCTCCAGAAGAGCACATGTCGGGTGACATGAATCAGAGAGGACAGGGGGAGTGAGAGAAGAAGCTCAGCGGCAGAAGGTTTAGTCACTGAGAGACTTCGGAAGGACTTCCGAATTGTAGATTGAAACGGAATCACTGTTTTGAAAAGGAAATATTTAATCTTTCCTGATTTTTTTACTTAATCATCACAGAAAAAGAATTGGAAGTTTGATCTACAGGTAAGGATGTTTACATGAGTTTGATTTAAAATATAAATATGGGTTTTAGAACTTGAAGAAACTTAATATAAGAAACATCAATATTTAAAGTGTATATATTGCTGGCAAGAACAAAAAGAATCATTATTTTGGCTTAAATCTTTATGCGTAAGGCTTTGGAGTAATTCCGCAAGTCCAAACAAAATGTAACTGTAAACCTGGAATTATGCTCTCATAATGTGCCAACACTAAAAGCAACCACAGGAACAAACTGTGATTATGGCTTCCTCCCCTGTCCTCTCATTCTTGTTGCTACTGTGGCCGTGAGCTGTTGTTGACATGGGTTTGGAAATAGCTGAGGTCTGAGTGATTCACCATCTGTCCCCAGGGGTCGCTCAATTTGGAACACCCTACATATGAGCCATGCTTCTGTATATGTTGTGTATCACTTTGCATAAGCACACTAGATACTGAAAGCCACTGCTGTCGCATGACTTTCCTTCTTGTAAATATGTTGGTAGTACCACAGAATGACTTGTTGCTGGTGTAAAACTATATTTTTTAAATAGTTTATCTTAACTTTTTAAAATACAGTTTAAAATACAATTAGACTGTGTATTTATTATATGGATAAAATATTGGAGCATATGGCATAAGACCTATCCTTTGGTGTTCATGTAAGGGGTGAACGGGAATAAAAAAAAACCTCTAAGTGATATCTCTGTAGTAGCCAGGGGGTGCTTGAAAAGATTAGTTCGGTTAATGTGAAAGTAAACTTGTGTTTGCAAAAAGTATGGCTAAACAGTCGAAATTGTCAGCCGAATATAACAATAGCTAGCTAAAAATCTCAATTTAATAATTCAACCGTCTTAGCGGAGTGTTACGCTCAGTAAGTATCGATGTATCTATGGATGCAACTTCCCTGTTGGCAACACATTTTTTGAAGACTACAAGCACAACAACCAGCTGATCTGAGCAGAGTCAGGCCGAACATAGACAAGTAATACACAATAAAACTGATAGGAAAAAATATCACCTGATTTTTAAATCACAAAATATAGGTATTGGTAAAGCTCTAGCTATCAGTTAATTTAAGTTTGTTTATTACGAAGAAATTATGATGCATTTTAGCTAACAGTGTAAAGTTTGAGCTGAATAGTTGAAACTGTTTTAACACCCAACCAGACCAACCATAGCCAGACCAAAGGAATTTAGTTTACTTGTTTGGTTCAGATGAAATATTACCTTGTCTGATTTGCTATAAATGATAAACACCACAAAATAAATGATAATAATATGTCCACCCATACATGGTTTGCACATTCTTGTAAAGCGTTAGGTGGCTACTTTTATTCATAGCATTGCACAATATATACACAATTACTCTGGTTTTGTTTTGCAAGCATGATTCAGCAGCAAGAAATCAACCTAAAGACGACAGCTCCTCTCATAGTCCAACTCTGGGGTTTCAAACTGGCAGGACTCCTTTTCCCTTTGGCTGACACAGACCAGTTGTTTCAGTGTGTTGTGCAGAACCCACCCATGTTAACGTCAGACCATGTGGGCCTGCACTGACGCAACGTGACAGGGGCTTTAAGATCTGAAAATTGGCTATTAATAGAGCTGCAAGGGTTGTGTTGCTGGTGGCTGGGCAGCATGCTGCAGCTGAGAATCAAACGAGTTGAGTGCAGAGGGGGGTCACTATGTTTGTGGTGTCAGGGATTCTGTCCCACACAAAAAAATGACTTGATGATTGGGGCCCATTAACCTTAACGTAAACAGTTTTTACCTAAACACAAAATTATTTAAATGAAAGTAGTTTTTTAACTGTGTTAATTCCATTTCGTGAACTTTAGAATTGAGAGCTGTTTCATAATTTTAGTATATTGTTTACTACATTGTGTACTCTTTCTCTCTTTCAGATGTTGTTCATACCCAGGGCCCACTTGATGGAAGTCTTTATGCCCAAATCCGGAAAAAAGACTCCCTGGAGGGAGTTGTCACTGTCAATGGCCTCCCAGTCCGTGAAAACCCCTTGACTAACGAGAACCCATTGCAGCACACCAACCATCCCCTGCAAACTACTGACCACACCCTTCCTGTGGCAGGCCACACTTCCCTCCCTGCTGTCGACCATACCCTGTCTGTGAGCAGTGACTCAGGCAATTCTACCGCATCGATCAAGACTGATCGCACAGATGAGCAAAGCCAGTCTGTGCAGAGTGCTGTGAGCCACAACAATCCAACAGCAACTCACCCACCACTCAGTCCGCAAGAAAAAAGAGAGCTCGACCAACTTCTGAGTGGCCTTGAGGCACCAACTAAGCGGCAAGCCTACCTGCCTACATCTACCTGTCCAGGAGGAGGAGTACGACACTTAGTTCCTGCACAGGTGCATGTCAACGGGAGCCACACCAGGTTAGTGGGCGCTCCTTCAACAGAGGAGCGTGAGACAGACATTCTCGACGACGAGCTGCCTAATAGTCAAGAGGGCAACAGTGTGGACAGTTTGGGCACCATCTCATCCCTTGAGGGCCAAGCAACACCAGCTGACTTGTACTACCAATCACAGACTCCTGTCAGTGGCCAGAACGACGAGCCGTACCTTGATAGAAGCGAGATGCCGGTGCATGGAGTACGAACTCCTACAGCGATGCAAGAGAGATCCGTGGACTCACCATCGCCACAGGGGGGTTACAACAATTATCAAAATGGAGGAGGGATGTATCGTTCACAGTCCTTTGGGAACCCACCTGCCAGCAGCCCTGAGACCACCCCAAAACTTATGCCCAGGGCCCCTGAGAGGAGCACCAGTAGCCGGGATGCTGTACAACGAGGTCTCAGTGCCTGGCATCAGCATAGCCTACCAGACGATCCATTTGGTCCTCCTCTTCAGTCAACCCATAGCTTGCCCCACTTTCCCACCTCAGCTTCACAGCGTGACATTGAGCAGTCAATCGAGGCACTAAATATGCTGATGCTTGACCTAGACCCAATCAACTCTCACATGTCTAAGTCCCACAGTGCGCCCCCTGGTGAGAACAGCCTCAATTCATCCCAGGTGCCATTCTCCCAGACCCTGGCCAGGCCATCATACCAAGCAGACTCTGCTATCCATGGCTACAACAGCTCTGGATCAATTGGCGACGGCATTCATCAGCCCCATCGCTCATCTGGGAGAGTCAGCCAGAGCCCAGTTATGGAGTCTCCAGTGCATTCTCCCCAGAGGCCCAATGCTGGCTACCAACACCAAAATATCACCCCAACACACACTCCTGAGCCCTACCTCCATACTCGCCATGCACCCCTTCATTACACCACTGATTCTAATTTCAATCAGCAGACCCCAGTGAAGCCCATGAACTCCCACCCAAGCAGTGGCACTTCACACTCCCCAGAACTGCAGGGCTCGTCTCCATATCCAGGCTATAGTGCCTCATCTTCACCCCTTCCTACTGTAACTCCACAGCCCAAGGACACATCTTCTTCATCGTTGCCCAGAGAACAAGATGCAGAGGAGGAGACGCTAAACTTGGAAGGCCTGGTAGCACACCGTATTGCAGGTAAGGCTTCAAGATATTGTCTGGAGTTATTGTATGAATAAGGAAGGGACAGAGTGAGTGGTACTGGACTTGTAACTGTTGCAGGATATTATGCTGTTCTTTGTTTTTTTGTGCATAAATTAATTCATTTACAGTTGATTATCTATTATGTCTATTATGGATTAGCTTCAAAGTTTCCAAGTTTTTTAAGGTTTAAAAAAGAATATGTGAAATAGTTTTTTGCTATTCTTGTTTTCAAGGAAAAAAATTGCACAAACACACATATGTCAGCATTTGTGGGTTGTTGGACTGATGGTGGCATGTTGTAGCCCCTAAAGGGGACTCAAAGAGCAGGTTAATACAGTCAGTAGCGATGCTCTGTTTTGGAGGTTCAGGGAACATTATGGATGATTTGCCTAAAATTAATGAGCAAATAAATAAGCATAAATATGTAAAGCAGATTTGTAGCATATGATATAGCCTAAAACACTTTTGATATTCTGAAAATGATATTCAACAAAACGTATATATCCAAAATGGCTAACACAATTTACGCATTATCTTGAAGTCTCTGTAATCTTAAGAACCAAGTAGAATACAAGCGGTGCAGTTTCTATAACCGATCCATTACAGGGTGTTGTATTAGAGGAATAAGCCTTACTCATAAAGTTAGCTTCTCTGACTCAGAGAGCTGTGCAGAGCTGCTGAGAGTGGAAATGAGGTGAGAGTAATAATAGCCAGGCATTCAGAGATCCCAGCTTCCATGCATTGTCGGCATGCACGATTTTCTTTGAAATGATTTGGAAGCTCTAAAGTGCCTCCCAGTGGAACAAAAATGTAAGTTCCTTTTTAGCTAGGGGCTTGCATGTCATCTCATTTGGAGAATACTTTTATTTATCCATTTCTGCTCTGATTTTTCTTTTCCTTTTCCATTCAACCCATCTCTTCACTGTATGGAAACCCTACCCACCACTGCTTCTTCCTCTGCACTCACTCTCCTCCTCCTCCTCTACCTTCACCTGCTGCCTCCCTTCCACCACTTGACATCCCTCCCCGGAAACAGAGTACAACGCTCGTATTCGGGGCATCAGTGAAAGCATGACACCACAACAATCTGACCGCCATCGCTCCTATTCCTTCTCTGGTTTGTCCACTTTACCCCACCTTTAAATTCTGTCTTTGTTTCATTTTATTTGTCTTGCATTTCTAGAAACTTTCTCTACTTCCTCATCATTTTCCCAATTATTTGTCCTTTCCCACTGCTTTCGTATTACTTGCAGCCATGTTTTTAAACATTGAGAATCTTTCTCACTGGCTCTGCCTCTCTTAAAGAGGGAATGATGCTGCCCTTTTATATTGATAGGATGCTTTCTCTTTAGCTGATACATCTTTGAACAAATATCCCGGGACTACACAAGCAACATAAAAAGATGTTTAAAAAAAAGGCATAATGATTTGATGAGTCCTCATACTCAAATATTTTGGGGGATACAGGAGTTCGTTCCAGAGGGATGACCCCAGAAGTGACACAGGAGACAGGCAGGCGTCGGACCACGAGTGAGGGACAGTACCAGAGCGGCCATGATAGTACGTCAGCAGTTCATTCACCAGACTTTGCCAACAATCTTGCTCTCAACCCAGGAGGAAGACCCAGAGAGGTACAGCACTTGATTTTATGGTTAAGCCATGAGCACATGATTTTGTCACTAATTTTGTCCCCACTGAAAATCATGATGAATCCTAGAGGCTGACTGTTGTAGGATTTTCAAGACCAATACCAGCATCAGCTGATTTAAAAATCTGATACTCTAATATGTAAATATGTATTTTTTTTAGACAAGGAAAATGAACCCTTTACTTGATATTTGTTATGTGTAGTTATTCTTTTACCCTCTGCCTGACTCTGCACTGGTCAGCAGGCTGTGCACTGCCCAAAGGGAAGTTGCAGAGTGCCCTCTGGTGGACAACCTATCCAATGTCAACACATGTTACATAGTTGACAGATGTCTCTGCTCTCTCTCCTATTTGCTTTTTAAATTCTATTGTGCCATTAGAAATGTTGGCTCTGATAGATCAGCAAGTAGCTATTATTAGCCGATAAGTTCATATTTGCACTGAAGTAGTTTCATTTTATGCACGAAGGGGCTATAGCGACATATAGCGACATGTTTTTAATTGGACTGGTGCAGGAGGAAGCAAACAGTCATGCTTCATGCCCACCTTTGGGCCTATCCTGGTATTATGGAAGAGAGTCCTAAACAATTTCCCCTTCAGCATGAGGTGAGCTACAGTAAAACATCGAGCTCTCGACTGTTTATTGTTCATAAAAGTTCTGACTTCAGACCTACCCCAAACAAGCAACAAACTAGCAGTGACTGCTGATTTGGATTTTAACTTTCTGTTCTGTTTCTCTTATCTGCTGAAAAATGTGCTTGAACTTCAAACTCTGCTTGCTCTGAGTGAGACAGAGAAACTTACGCATGCTTTTATATCAAGCAGAGCTGACTGATGTGATGTTCTGCTATCTCATCAACCCAAAACGTTTGTAAAGTACCCACAGCTGACCGCGAACACTGCAGAAGAGGAATAACACAGTACACTGATGTTCCTGCACTTTCCATATTTTAATTTCTTTTACTTGTTTTTAAATATCTTCGTGGTCTTGCTCTGTTTTATGTGTCCCATATGCTCACGGTGTAGGAACTTGTACAACCCCTCAGGCACTCCGGTGCATGTCTGCTAGTCAATCTAAAGTTCTGGGCAAAAAACATTAAAGAGAGGCAGGTTTTAGCTTTCATGTCTTTTTGATTGATCCATTATAGTTTGATTTTTCTCTTTGTTTTATTTCTTTTTAGCTTATTAATTACTCTGTCATGATATTGTGTCTTGACTCTAATCAAGTCAAGCTGCATTGATTTTTCTGTAGACTAATTATACTTTTCTTTTATACTTCCTGACATACCTCCATATCTGTGTGCCTTGATCATCTCTTTCAGGGTGCAATGCACAGCTACCGAGATACGTTTCAGGACAATGAAACAGACAGGTTTGCCAACAGTTCCACCTTTGGAGGTGGTGGAGGTGAGAATTTATTCCATATTCCATATTCTCCATCTCCTAGTCATAGCCACAACACACATAGGCTCACTCTGCCTAAGACATTAGATAGAAATTGTTGGTCTGAATCTAAATTACATTTGTTTGTTAATTAAAAAATGCACAAGGAAAACACTGAATTGTGAACAGAGGCTGAAGTTTAAATTAAGTAATTTTGTTTTCATTATATATAAATGAAACAAATACACAGCAAAGAACAAACTCCAAATAAAATCGAAGAAAAAAAAAGATAAACAACCAAACTACAGTAAATAAAGGCTTTAAATGATTTTGCAATGGAAACAGCTCAGTAGCAAATAAAACTGAGTCTCTTCTCACAGTCATGAGCCCTCCAACTACTCAGACGCCCTCCTGTCTTCTGTAAGGCTGCACACTTCATCTTAGCCTGCGGACACAATGGTTTTCCCTCTTCATCCCAGGCTTCATAGTCCATCTCCTGCCCATCCACCCAGATCCAGTCCCTAGACAAGAAGCGCAAACCAATCCAAACATGTTTAGTGGTGTGATATTTATTCAGCTCTTTCTGAATGAGCAGCATCTCAGTTTCTGATGCCACACTGGCCAGGTCATCATGGTGCTCCCTGCACTACTCCAGAGCTTCCTCCCAACTCTTTTCCTCTTCCACCACTACTGCGCTGTAGCAGAAGACAGGGTTGATCTTGTCTGCATGTGCATCACGCCATTTTTTGTTATCAAAAAGTCCATAGTCTTCATTGGGTCGGTTTTCAGGTTGACCCTGTTTCCAGCAAAGCTCAGTCACCTCTCCACCTCCTGACCACAGCCACTTGTTTTTGTCTGAGAGATTCCTCAGCAGTCCAAACCAGATGTAGTCATTGAGATTGTGAGAGAGCTCCTGAAGCTTGAGGTTATCCCGTTCATTACTGACCGGGGCCAAGTCTGTGTATCTCTGCTGACAGTAACTTAAAGCTTTATCCCAAGGCATTTTCTCCTCAATGTAAACATACTTGCTAGAAGTTCCAGAAAAACTCAGGAGGAGCAGGGTCCAGACGAAGACCTGATCCATCATTGTTTTGTTTCAAAGAGTGTTGCGAGCTGTGAATACCCAAAGTGTTATGCACTGTCAAAGCTATGAGATGTTTGACAGAAATGATTTGCATAGGCGGGCTCTGTCATTCGCTCAACCCACCAGTATTGTCGAGGGAGACGAGAGAACAAAGTTTCAAGGAAAGAAACTATAAAAGTCTTTCTTAAACACTCATTATTATTTCTGTTCTGTGCACTCCTCGTCCAACATTGGTCTTCTAGAAATGTAATTTTGGACTCTATATTTTTAATTAAATTCAACAGCTATTTGATTTCTTTAAATTTCTGTCATCAATGCACTTCAAATATATCAAAGAAAGACACAGACATGAAGCCTGAGGCATTTGGGAAAGAGCAACTAATAAGGGTTGCGTGACTTCACAGCCGACAAACAAATCAAAAGAAGGATTTTCCATGTTGTTAGTGATTTCTTTCAAATGCAAATGTAGAGGTCAAGAGAAGAAACTCAGTGAGGGCTGAAAGAAACAATCTTTATTACTTCTGCTTTTTATCTTTCTATCTTTCCATCCTTTTGCTTTTTGTCATTTTATTCTTTGGCCATGTTGGTGCAATTAAATATAAAGTAATGTGGACTTAGGTGTATTTTATAATCTTTGAGGTTAGGGATAACATAGGATATATTTGAGCTATTAACATTAAATTATAATCCGTTCAACAACACTGAAAAAGAGATGCCGTTTTATCCGTCCTTTTCACTGCCTCCATCAAACCAGGTGTGTTTTTATAGTCAAAACAATCAAACTTACAAGTCATCTCACCAACCACCACCCCCAAAATATATGTATTCAATTCAGTTATAGCACTGACCTCCGTGTTCAGACAGTCTGTGTGATACTGATATTTGGGAACCCCAGAGTCCTCTCTCCTGTCATTAGTCCTGAACTCACAAGTGTTCTAATAAGAAGGTGTTCCTTTGCACAAACATTCATATTTGCCCACCTTTACCCTTTACCATGCCACTTCATTTGAATTAATAAATTAAGCATGTTACAAGGTGCTTGCTGGCCTCTTATTTGGGAAACATTGGAAAATATGTGTGGTGATTTCTATGTCTCACACCTACTCACCTTGCATTATCACAGCTCCATCTTTACATTTTTACCTCGTCATTGTTTGAGTAGCAGAATGCTCTGGTGTGGTGATGCTCATGCTAAATGTGTGCAAATTTATTTCCATAACACATTCACATTTCTTTTCATATTTACATCGAGGTTAGCATAAATACAAATTCCAAAGAAGCAAATAATTTGACATATACACGTGATAAAGATTTCCAAAGTTTACACATGAATAGAAATATAAATACAAATATGGAAAGATAGTTTTTAATTAAGTAGCACATTTCATTACATTTAAATTTAAAGTGTATGACACAGAAGATAAAAATACAAAAACCTGTGTGGGTTTGCAGTGCCTTAAGGCAGTGACAGCAAAGTCTGTTTTTGAACATATGCACAGATTTAACTTCTGTCAGTCAGCAGACACCACAGTAACTGAAATCACCCTCAGCACACTTCTAATTCAATGACAGCCTTCACCTTCAGCCAGGGGTGTCAAACTCAAATACACAGTGGGCCAAAATTCAAAACTGGAACAAGGTCGCGGGCTAACATTAATATTTATTGAAAAAAAAAAAAATCTTCCTCCAGATTTAAGAATGAATCTCTTCTTATGGAGTTTTGCAGAAAAACTGAATATGGAACAAGCAAAGCTTAATACTAAACAATATATATATTAGCTGTATAATACCAGTAGGCCAGCTCTGATAGTAATTTGGTATGGCTTTGCGGGCCAAATGTAATAGCGCGGGCCAGAGTTTAACACCTATGAGCCTTCAAGTGTTACATATCCGTACATGTAAATCCACCATCTGATGAATTTCCATGTTGCATCACACTTTTGCAAAAGGGAAAACCTCTGTGCTTTCATTCCTTATATTAGTCAGGGTACATTATTACATATTCTCATATGTCATCACTAATGAGAAAGTTTTGCAAATACAATATTTTTAAGAATCTTTTGACTCTCTTTCTTTCTCGTAGCTCGCTCTCCTCCAGATTTGAGCAAGACTCCTGTGTCACCGCTGGGATTGAAGCCTCATCAGCAGGGTGGAGCAGGTCAGTTTATCGGCATCAAATATCCTCGTCTTCATTTAGAACTGACGGTATATATACTACAGATGATGTGTACAAAATGATATTCAGTTCATGCTACAACATTCAGGTTTTCAGTATTTGCATACAAAGAATTTGAATCTGCCAAATCATAATTAGATTTGACTAAAAGCACTTTAGCCATCGAGTGATAATTATACAGAAGCGTACAGTGCACAGAATCCCTGCACTATGTCATACTGTAGCTGAGTAGAAGGTTGCTTTAATACTTTGCTGCCCTCTAGTGTGTAGAATTGTTCCTGCAAATGCTTCGACGCTAACAGTTCTTGCTCTGAGCTCAAGTGCATCTCTCTTCTCTCCTCCTCTTCCACACACCCTCTCTTCTTCTGTTGGTGTCTGCTTCTTTTTTCTTCTTGTGGTCAGACGTTCATTCTAATACTGGAGAACAAGGTAAGTTTACTTTTTGTGGCACCACCAAACCCATATTTGATATTTCTGTGCTCGACTATACATGAATTTGTCTTTGTTTTATGATGATTGATGTTTGATTAATTTCCTGTTTCTGTCAGTTTCGCCTTTTCCAAGCTTCTGATGCCTGTTAACTGATTTGTCTTGTTTCGTTCAGGGCATCCAACTGTTGCGTGATGCACCAAAAACCGATCTGACCATACACATGTATGTGTGTGTCTGTTTTAACACGCAGATAATCGAGGTTTTGGCGACTCCAGGGTACAACCCTTGAATGCTCCCCTCTCCTCCAGCAGTCCCATCCACAGCACTGATGGGTGAGTCTTCTGTGTCACTTATTTTTCTTGGATAAAAATTTTAGCCTGTACATGTTTTTTATACATGTTAAGCAAATGTTACTTTTCTTTTTTTTTCATACTCATATCCAGGATGTCATATACGGAGTATGATGCTGACAGGTTAACCCAACTCCAACTTAGCTGGATCAAAATTTTCTGAAGAACCCTTGTGATTGAGGTTAAAATAAAATGATTTCGCAACTGGAGCGTGAAAAGCCCAAATTTTAAATTAAAATAAAAGTTTCCGGTTCTAATACATTGACACACATCGGGACATACTGCTGTGAAAGTACTTCATTTCATGCATATAGATAGCTTGGAGACCCAAATTAGGTATTCAGGTTAACTGAGCAAGCACTTGGCGACAGTGGGGAGGAAGAACTCCCTTTTAAAAGGAAGAGAGCTTTGACAGAACCAGGCTCAGGGAGGGGCCAGACAAGTTATAGAGTGTGTGAGGACACAGAGGAAAGAAATGAGAGCATAGAGACATGAGGACAAAACAGAAAAGATAGAAAAGAGAAGAAAAAAATGTATATACATATAAACAAGAGAGGTGAGTGAAAAAGAAGTGCTTAGTGCATCATGGAGGGTCCTAGCATCTACTTCTAAATACTCTAGGAACCACAAGTAAACCAGCAGTCTGAGTGCTCTGTTAGCATAATAACATAACGAAAAGTATTTAAGACATGACAGAGCCTGAATATTCAAGACTTAGCTGGTAAGGATTTACACTGAGAAATTCTGCATCACTTCCTGTGTACAATATCTTTCATTGGAGAACAATCACCAGTCACATTTCATGTGGCCTGTATATGATGTATCGCAGCATTATCCCAGCAGTGATAGAAATAAAACCAGTACCTCAAACTGAATTTCTGTTATTACTGCACCCACCTGCAGTACAATCACAGCTCACTAGGGGGCTCCAGCTCACACTTTGGGAATCACTGGACTAAAGCAATGGTGTCATCATTCAGTATGATGCTGTAGAGAAGTGAAAGTGATGCTGAGAATAGATTAGCAGCCAAAGATCCAAGAAAGCAAGCATATAAGTGATTACAGATCTTTCTCGTTGAACTTACGGATTAGCATCATCATACACTGGCGAGCAGTTGAACAAAAGTCCAATAGCCTTATTAATTTAGTATCAAAGACTGCACAGGTGAAGTCACTCTGTTTTCTTTCTATATTTAATCCACATAAACAGCTAAATAGAGTCAAAATTGCAGAATCAATTCAAAATGGCAATCAGTATATAATAACTAATAACTATCCACACAGATACAAACAAAAATGAATGTATATTCAATGCCACTATTTAACAAAAACCCAAACCCCACCCCCAAAACTAATACAATATGTCCATGTTTAGGATCATTTCAGAGGGCGACGAACCAACCAAAAGACCTAATAATGCTTTTAAAATAATAATAATAATAACATTATACAGTGAGGTAATTTTCATTGAGGTTACTTAGATATGAGCTGCCGATATCATCCACAAGATGTATTTTACGAACTGGAATAAGTGCTGAAATGTCAACATCAAGTCAGCTTGAGCATCCTTATCACATTTAATGTTCGGTGTAAGGATCAGGTAAAAAAATACAATAACATACCTTTTCTTACTTTTATGATTGTAGAAGAAGAACTAGTTCTTCAGATGGCATCCCGCACAGCCCCGCCTCTATTCACCCCCACAGACCTGCTTCCCCAGACGGATCTCAGGTCAACATTATGGGCGTCCACACAGTCCCCGGCAGCCCTAACACCCTCCACCGCACAGTGGCCACCAACACTCCTCCGAGCCCTGCACTTCAGAGACGCCTGGGTCAAGCCAGCCCCTTGCTGGGCAGGCACCCACCTCCATCTGGTGTTCCTTCAAGTCCTCTGATTGGCCGAAACCCTAAAACAGCAGCTGCCGGTGTGCCACCTAGCCCACTGATGGGGCGCCGCACGGCAACGAGTGGACACAGTACGCCTGATGAGCTGGGCGCTGCCTCTCGCCAGGGGGGCATCCATCAGCCTGCCACGCCTGCTTTCCCAGTCTCCCCACAGCTACCAGAAAAGCGACACATGTCCAGTGGAGATGCAGACAGAATGGAGAACAAGAACCTGATGCCAACACCGATCAGTGTTAGCAGCACGCCTAACCTGTCTGGGACACACACTCTCCCAGACGTCTCCAAGTCTATATACGGTAAAAGGGGACGTTTTTTTTTTTAATACCTTTCATGAACCTCATGGGCTAAATATCACTGATTTTCTTCACCTAATTTCATTCAAACAGACGGTTATCCTGACATCAAGATGAATGTCAAGTTTGTCCAGGACACCTCCAAGTACTGGTACAAACCAGACATCTCCAGAGAGCAAGGTGAGAGTCAGGAACTTCAACCAACTTCAGCTGCTCATCCTCTCGTCATTGCTTTTCTTTTCATTCTCCTCATCTTCTTCTTTTAGCCATCAGTTTGCTGAAGGACAGGGAGCCTGGGGCTTTCGTCATAAGGGACAGCCACTCTTTCAGAGGGGCCTATGGTCTGGCCATGAAGGTGGCCTGCCCACCGCCAACTGTCCAGCAGAACAAAAAAGGTAAAGGCTTCCCACACTCTGCTCTTGGCTTGCTTGTGAAACATCTGCCTTCTCCAACAGCTGGATCAGCTGAGTATGTCTTTCTTTTATAGTTGGTGACATGACTAACGAGCTAGTGCGGCACTTCCTGATTGAGACGAACCCCAAAGGTGTCCGCCTGAAGGGCTGTCCCAATGAACCCTATTTTGGTAAGTTTCTGCTGGTGTTTTTTTTTTCTGTTTGCAACATCAAAATCACAGGTTGAAATTTAATTTAATATCAGACTGATCCAGTCTGACAGAGAGACCATTGCTTTCTGTTTGTAGGCTGTCTTTCTGCTTTGGTGTACCAACACTCAATGACCCCACTGGCTTTGCCATGCAAACTGATGATCCCCACCAAAGGTAACTCTTGTTTTTTAACTCTACTTTCTTAGTTTCTTTAACATTTTATGGAACGGGAATCCACTCAGACTTTTAGTACAAACCAAATTATTGATAGGTACTTCCATGTTTTTGATAAAAATGTCAATTTGTAAAATTTGTAAATTGTAACACTTTACAATTTATTTGCTGCAAGTAATTGTATTCAGATGCAAAAATATAACATCTACTCTATTCGGTCTCTCCAGACCCAAATGAAGAGGCACTAGAACTCACCACACCAACTGATCCAGTTGTTGAACTTCTTAAGCAGGGAGCGGGTAAGTGTCACTGAAGTCTACCAGAAGAAAAAAGGGATAAATTATGATTCTACAAAACTCTTTGTGAAAAGTAGAGATGCACCAATTGCAATTTTCTTGGCCTGTTCCAATTTCCAATTTTTTAGTTCTTTTTTTTAAGTGTGATGTGCCAATACCAATTTTTTTGAATTCTGGTTTCTTTCTTAAAACTAAAAATGACAACAAAATCACATTTTCTTCAATGCAATATTCTAAATTATATAGCAATAATATAAATTTTTAAACTTCCAAAATTTTCCCCCAAAACTACAGTAAGTTACCGGGTATTGTCTCACAGAAGTAACGGAAAATAACCCACTGGAAAGAGATGCAGATAATTAAAATGACTTCCTGTATATCTACTTTTACCTGACATATTTCAGCTTACCAAATAAAACCAGTTGCAAGAGATTCATACAGCAAAACAGTTACATTTTCTGATATGTTTATAAATTCAACAGCCAACATGAAATCAACACCTTTTCCTTTTCACTTCTGTCATAAATTTTTTTTGGTAACTGCTTTTATTCCACGGGCATACTGAGGTTCATACTAAGGCTACTAGCATATGGCTTGCAGCGGACTCTGGATAGCTTTAGCTTTAGCCACTTTGCTTTTGTGTGCTTCCCTAAAATATCTATATTCAACTGGATGATGGTGATTTTATGTGGGATTAGATTTGTTGCTACAAATGTTTTAGTGCCGGTTAATGTGGTTTACTTTAAAATTTGTCACTTTACTCACAATGAGGAGTTTAACATCCAGCATTCGGATGTCAGCGTGTGCTGTTCTTTTGCAGATATGTTGCGCATGCATGACAAAGACCAGTTTATAATCAGATATATGTGAAACTGTTTGGCCAGTCACCAGTTGTGGCTAATGGAATCAGGCCTGTTCTGGACCCTGAATGGACAGTTTGTGCATTTCAAGAAAAAGAAAAAAACTTTTTTGGTGTTTTTTTTTTTTTAGAAACATCATTTCACTTGCTTACACAACCCTGTCATCCTTACTTTACAGTCCAGAAGGTTCCCGAGGAAGCCCATGGTAAATACTGGTTTGCACTGCTCTGCTTCATCATGAAATTTTACTGAATATGAGTGTGCTCTTTCCCAGAGGGTTTCAGTCACTGTTAACAAATTTTACAACTAAATAAAACTTGAAATTCATGCATGTTATATTGCAGGTCAACGGACTGTAGAAGCATTTGATACAATATTATACTTCCACATTATATAAAAATATGCATTGCATGATAACTTGTGTCATAACATTATTCACTGTATGCATTTTTAATTATCCTCACTACAGCTTCCATCACTTTAAGACAAACTGCATGCACACTGGGTTTTTTTTTTGTTTTGTTTTTTCGTAGGATCTTCTCTTATGTAGCAGTGTTTTTCCATTGTTTACCTCTAGCGTGCAATGTTCTCTACATCAACTCTGTGGACATGGAATCGCTCACTGGGCCTCAGGCAATTGCCAAGGCAATTAGTCAGACGCTGTCAACCAACCCTCTGCCCGCTGCCACCACCGTCCACTTTAAAGTGTCCACACAGGGCATCACACTCACCGACAGTCAGAGAAAGTGAGTAAGCACGTTCAGGAGTAACTCTAATATTAACAATGGTCTTAACAATGATCTGTTATATCTGTTATATGTGCAGCTGAGATACAGTACATAATGAGTGAAAGAGAATAAAGACTAAAAATATTAGTATGATAGTCCCTAACGAAAAGAAATGTTTACTGCAAAAGTAATTTTGCACCCTCTAGTGGTAGCCAGTAAACCAGTAATCACATGACAGCATTTTTCTGCAAACACCAAGAGATACCCTGTACAATGTTTCATTCAAGCACGGTCCTTTAATGTAATGTTGTTTTATATTCATTCATTCATTCATTTTTACTGCAGGCTTTTCTTTAGAAGACATTATCCAATAAACACGGTAACCTACTGTGACATTGATCCCCAGGACAGAAAGTAAGACTTTCCTTTAATGTACTAAACCTCATATATATATATATATATACCTCATATATATATATATATATATGTGTGTGTGTGTGTGTATATGTGTGTGTGTATATATGTATATATATATATATACACACACACATATATATAATACACATAATATACAATTATATTAAGTAATTGTGTACTTAATTACTTAATTCAAAATCATATTTTTTATTGTATTTTGTATTTGAATTTTTTTTTCTTTAGATGGGGCAAAGAAGGAGGCGGCTCAGTGAGGTAAGTTTGCATGCTTTAAAGATAAATGTGTATAGTTATTTGTGTACTGAACGTCATAAACAACTGAATTCATTTCACTAACCACTTAAAAAAATATTGTTTGGTTTCCTTTTCCAGATGTCCAATAGCTACAGTATTTAACCTTATCTGACAAAAAGGTTGAGACACATCAAACTTTAAATTTAACAGAAAATTTTAAGACAAACTCAACATATCCAAGGGTGAAACTGAGAAATTTGATTGTTTACTGAAAAATAGATGACATCATTGGTTTAATGCAATCAAAATGTCTCAGAAAAGCATCAGCTCTTCTTTTAACACACCTAGCAAGCATTTAGCAACTGAGGATATCAACTGCCAAAGTTTTAAAAGCAAAATGTTTTTTGATGCTTGCTCCAGCATGAATGTGAAGTTGTTCAAGGTCACCTATATTATATTTGGACCTGTTGATAGACGCTGTCACTGAAACACACTGGAATATTTTTGTTATGAAAAGTATTCATGTTTGTTTGTTTTTAACTTTGGCACAGTACTTTTGGATTTGGCATTGTCTTGCTTGCTTATCAACAAACCAGTTGTAACAAGTAGACTGTCAAACTGCTTGCTGACTAACTAATGACTTGTGAGTTAGTCAGTTAGTAAGTTATTTGCCTTTCTTTAAGTATAATATATGTTTTTCTTGCTTTCAGGCTTTTTGGATTTGTGGCAAGGAAACAAGGAAGCACAACAGACAATGTCAGCCACCTGTTTGCTGAGCTGGACCCAGATCAGCCCGCCTCCGCCATCGTCGGCTTTGTCTCTAAAATGATGAAGCGATGAAACCCTTAACGTTCAAATGGCAGTGGCTGTTTTGCAATCTTCCCTCATTGTTGGTGTCCTCTTTGCCAGGGCTGGATGGAGTCCTTTCTTTCTGTTTTATGTTGGGTTTTTGTTTTCCTTCTCTGTTTTTTCCTCTCTGCCTTGCTGGTTTGTTTTGATCTAATTGAAGTAGTCTCTGTTTGAAGGCTTTGGTGTGGATCGAAACTGGAGCTAGAGGATGTGTGATGCGGAGCTATGCATGTGACAAACATGGAAGCCATTGGAGGGAGAAGATTTATCGACAGGATAACCTGTGCTTGAAGAACTTAGCTAAAGACTAAAAGAAAAATGCAAAGTCTAGTCAGGGAACATATAAGGAAGTGGATGTTTCAGGGTTTTTCTGTTGTTCTTGTCGATTGATTTACCAAAGGTAGCTGCAATACAAGTGCGAGAATGATGTAGCTGTTAAGCCATTATTATTTCCTCCTTTTAAAAGATGAAACATTGAAAAAAAAGAAATCTGTTTTCTTGAACTCATCTTCAGGAGTAAAAAAAAAATGTTGGCCTTGATGGCTTTTAGCAAAACTGTCTGAAGACATTATGCATGTTAGCTTGATCTTTAAGCTTGACTCTTCTACCTTCCACAAAAGTCATTGTGAAATCCTTAGAGTGGCCATTTCCAGGTCTGTTATGTGTCGGAAAGGGCTCTGCAGTGAAACGACTGATCTAAACTGCACATAACAGACCAGACTTAAAAAAAAAAAAAAAAGAAAAGGGGAGGGAAAAAAAGGACAATAAAACAATGCCACGCTAAGGTCACCGAACTTTGTGTCAGTGCAGCCACTTTTGCATCACCTCAGCATCCAGTCCGAGCCTGATTTCTCTCTCTAAAAACACTAAAAACCTTGCTTCTTGGATTATCCACCTGATATCGGCAAGCTCGTAATTGCATGCCAGACAGAGAGATTGTTTTATCTAGAAGGTGGAGCCGCTGATTCGGGCCAAGACTCTTTCCTCCCAGAGTCACACAGACTTCCTCATCACCAACTGCTTGCAGTAGTGGACCTGTTGATAGACGCTGCCACTGAAACACACTGGAAATCACCAGGGACTGGCCCAATGACCTGGACCTATGCACTGTTCTTTATGCATGTTGTTGTCCCAAAATGCACCCCCCCCCCCATAGTGACATCCAACATCACTGAAATCATTCTATGCCATGTGCTTAAAACTAAAAACCTTTAGACGAGTACTGACGTCGTATGACTTGTCAAAGACTGCATGAAATAGAAACTTTTTTTGTACTCTTCTCAGAGTCCTAAAAACAAACAAAAAAAGGAAGTAGAACAACCCACTGTTGAAGTAGTCACATGATGGTGAGATGCTATGTTTTTACCTTTGTTTTCATTTAGTTTTCAGTCCATTTGGGCCAGGGTTACCTTTCACTGTATCAAGGACAGTTTTATGTTCCACGGTGTTGTCAAAATTTACATCTGGATACCATTTAGTGTTAAAAACAAAGAAAAAAAACACATGAGAAGTTTCCACACTGTGCGCAATGCCTGCTTGTTGAACACACGCTCAATCATTCACAATAAGCTAAGGAAAAAAAATTGATATTGATATAAATGTACATAGATACTACTTTGAAAGGTGACATAGCGAAAAAAAGTATTTATTTTTGTTGCTTTGGTCCCTCATGATTACTCATATATACATATATTGTACAGTCTAGATAAAGAAGATTACCTAATGGGGTGAGAAAAAAAAAAGATATATACTTATTTTGGCTAATGATTTCAAAGTCTGGCGATTTTGAAATGCGTTTGAATATATGGTGTACATTACTTTGTACATGTATATGTTTGTTTTCACCTTGTCATGTATTACTCTTTTTTTCTGCCTCTGTTTTTTTTCTTCTTCTTCCCAAACGAGGTGAGGCGCGAAGGAGACAGGTCTGAAATGTGTAGACAGAAACATCTGAGTGTGTTTCCTTACATTTGGAAGGCAAACATATCGAAGCTGTTACATTTAAATGTGTGAGAAAAAAAGGAGGAGGCCAACCTCGAATGCAATATGAAAACAGCTTTTATGCATCCGTGACAGTTACAGTTATAATTTTGCCAAAGATTCATACGTCTATGCTAACTCGCTGCATGCTGCTTCTCAGTTTCCATTTTTTTTGTGTTTCATTCATTTTTCAGTCTAGCTCAGCTTGAGCAGCCAGGTTATTATGGGATGTTCGATATTAAATAATTGCAAGACAGCAAGACATTGAGATGTCTTGCAATGACAAAAGTATTTTGGGGGCGGGCAGGCGTTTGTTGTCTCCAAAATATATTTGCTTAAGATTGAAAAGTCCCACTGTGTCCATCTCAAAGAACAATGAAGTTCTGTTCAATTACCAAAACATTAAATTTCAAATAGACGTCAGTGCTGGAGGTAGATAAAGTCAGACATGTCTCATCGTGATGCTAAAGCTCTGCACTTGCAGAGTTGTCAGACCTCCAAAGGTGTCCCCCCGCCCCTCCCACCCCACCCTTTGAGAGTCATTGATTTATTTATTCTTATTTATTCTTTCATTTCCTTACAAATTTCCATGTTTCATTGTCACAGCTTTGCAGTTTTTACAGCGTTAATGATTTTAGGAATGTACGGTGGCGCTTTATTGAAAGCAAAGAGGTACAGTGCACTTAAATCAATGTCATTTGAAAAGAAAAACTGAAGAATTAAATGTTGAAATACAATTAAAAAAAATCTAAACTATATTGTACCTGTTGGCTTTGAGTCAAGAGTTACCTTGTTGTTTCATTGAAATAAAAAAAAAGATTCTGTGACCCCTTGTACAGATGAGACTTGTATGTTGTATGAATGTTCTACTATGGATGTGCAAAAGGGTCTCAGATTTTGTTTACGCTTATCATTTACATTATGCTGTCATGGCTTACCTGTTCCTAAGGAAAAAAAATGAAATAAAAACATTAAAGCAATACAGATACATTACGTTAAAGGCATGTGGGTGTTGTTTTTTTTTACTGCGCTTTTTAATACATGGGTTCAGACACAAACTTCTTAGTCTGACCCTCAACCAGAACCAGTTTGATTAGAAAGACCCTGGCATGGAAAAATTACCTGGAGGGATCATCTGGGCTGATTTGACATTCATGAAGGCCAAGCTTGGAGCCTCATTTGATGTTGCTTAGTGGGAATGTATCTTAAATGCATGGGGCTTGGCTCGGCCTTAACAAACCGTACGGGTCTGTTCTCCTGTGGACCCACCACTCACCATAGCGGTCTGGTACTTTCTGAATTTGGCGGTAGTCAAAGGCAATTCAATCTGTACCTGTTTAAACTGGATTTAGGGACACAGGACTGTCAGGTGAGGGGGTTCACAGGAGTGAGTTTATTTTTAGCCCCCCCAGCTGCACATAGAGTTTGTCCATAGTGGGCAAGATAATGTTTTTCCTGCACCTTTAGGTCCCTTACGAACTGAGTGCCATCACAGATTATGCACCTTTTTGGGTCAAGAGAGGCTGGTGGTGTGGTGGATCAGGTGATGAAGGAAGATGCCAGACAGGTCTAGAATGCCCAAACATTTAATCAGTGGTTCCCTGAATCCTCAGAGACCCTGATCTAATCTCTGTTACTGGTTATACGTATATATTGTTGGTGCTATCGTGGTGGCAACCCTCAAACTAAATTGTAGACACCAGAAGTGACACAGCTGTCAGGCTGAAGGATGAGTCCAATCAAACTTGGTTGTCTTGTGGGAGTCAGGTGTGGATGAGATATGTCCCTTAAAGGCCCTGGATGTTGTGAAGTGTCTTGGTTGACAAGCTTCTGTGGAAGTCAGGGACAGTGACCTTGGATTAACAAACTGGGGAGATGAGCCGTCTATTTTTTGTTTAAAATATGAACACATGAATGAGGGTTTACCAACACCAGCTTTGGAATCGGTGTCACCACAGACTCCTTCCTTCAGCATGTGTAGGAAACTGCATTGTGAACAAAACTTGGAGTATAATCCAATTAAAATGTTTTAATCTACTTTTTAAACATGTTTACTATTAATTTAACAAAGTTGAAGCTGCACCACTCTAACAAGATAGAAATGAAAGAAATACATGTACATATATGTAAATATACATTCACACAAACAAATACACAAACAAAAAGCTTAAGATAACCCAACCAAAACTAGATCAGTAGCAAAAAAAACAAAAAACGAGTCTCTGGAGAAATAAGTTGAATTTAAGGTAAAGCTGTTAACATTTTATTGTTATTGTTTGAGAATTGACACAGAATGGTAAAACACAACCAAACTATGGTGGCCACAATAAATAAGTGGTTATTGAAATTAATTATAGAAAGTTTAGTGCCACTGAACTACTGGTGTGACATACCAGAGTCTGAATATTTATTATTTTTGTCTTTTAATATTTAAATGTGTTCAAGAAAGTACAGAAAAGGTGAAATTATGAACAAAATCTGGAAAATATTTCATATTATTTTTATGTTTTTTTAATTTTTGTTTTTCATGCTTTTCTCAATGAAACAAAAATCATAATAGATAGTGTTTGTAAAATAATGAAATGCTGACTTTGTCACACAATAGAAATGAGACAATTACACATCAATTAGGGAAAATACAAAGACAGAGATGAGAAAAATAACCAAAATGTATTAAACACAGCAAATAAATTGTGATTTAAATGTATTTTATGAAGTAAAGTAGCTCAGTAGCAAATAAAATGTAGTTTCTCCTCACAATTATGAGCCTCCCAAACACCCTTAGTCCCTCTTTTCACCTGTAAGGCACCATACTTAATCTTAGTACTCGGGCACAGTGGCTTTCCCCTTTGACTCCAGGCCTCGTAATCCATCATCTGTCTGTCTACCCACAGCCAGTCCTCAAATAAGAAGCGCAAGCCAATCCAGACGACTTCTTTTGTGTTATGTTTGCTCAGCTCTTTCTGGATGAGCAGCATCTCGGTCTCAGATGCCACACTGGCCAGGTCCTCGTGGTGCTCCCTGCAGTACTCCAGAGCTTCCTCCCAAGTCTTTTCCTGCTTCACCACTATTGCTCTGTAGCAGAAAAAGGGTCTTGTTTTACCTGGATATGCATCATGCCACCTGCCGTTTTTGTTTATAAAACCACTGTTTTCATTATTTTGGTTGTGAGGTTGACCTGTATTCCAGAAAATCCAGGTCAACGCTCCACCTCCTGACCACAGCCATTTGTCTTTGTCTGAGAGGTTCCTTTCCAGTCCAAACCAGACACCGTCATTGACACTGGGAAAGAGCTCCATCAGTTTGTCATTATCCTGTTTATTACTAACCAGGGCCAAGTCTGTGTAGTTCTGCCGACAGTAACTCAAACTTTCATCCCAAGTCTTTTCCTCGTTCACACAAACATACTTGCAAAAACTCTTAGATAAGCTCAGCAGGAGCAGGATCCAGAAGAAGACCTGAACCATTGATGTGTCGTTTCAAGGAGTCTTTTTTTTTTAAACTCAATTTTTATTATAATTTACAACATTGCAACTTGTACTTGTCAATGTTCACAAGTAGGACAGTTACAGGAACCGCAATGCAGAAATGTAGATTAAAATAAGAACTGCAATTAGAAAGCACAAAACAAAACTGGGAAGCAAAACAAAACCCAAGCAAGCAAACAAACAAACAGACAACAACAAAAACAAAAAGAAAAGAAAACTAAAACAAAAACAAAAACTTTGTGTAATATTAAATAACATGTGACAAATCTAGCCATAAATGAACAAA